CAAAAGCTTCTGCTTGCAGTTGGTAGTCCTTCAGCCCCCTTTGATCCATCAAACCACTTGTGCCTGATCAACATGGAACCAGTACTTCTACCGGCAGTAGAGACGTTACTCAACCACACCGTGGAGGTGGAATGGGATAGAAAATTTAGAAATAACTATTGCATTCTTGTGACTACATATTGACTACTCCATGGAGTTCTCTCCAACATTTCTAAAGCAAGGCAGACCTTTATCAACGGTGTACCTAAAACGCCTGAGTGTGATGGTTACAAGCCAAGTTAATTCATGGGGCATGTGAGCGAGTTAATGGGAGAGCACTGCAGGTCCAAGCAGGGTCAACCGTCCGTTGGACAAAGTCCAACGGGGGTCGTATTTGGCCGACCGGAGAGGGGGGTCGTATTCGCAAAGGTCAACGTCGCAATACGTAGATGAGAGGCATAACTTTCAAGTGCTTTCCAACTATTAACCACAAACGAGTGCATGGCGCACCTCAGAGCAGAAGAGTCTACTGCAGAAGTGTCCATATTTGACTGTTCACGCACACAAATATGCTCTCGAGGAGAATCCAATGTTTTTCAAACTGGACCTAAGTTAGTAAAAAAGTGACCACTAGGGTAGATTGACTACTAAGGGCTTACAAGAAAACTTTGGAAAAAAATTCAACTGTCTACAACTTCCTGAAAAGGTTTCAGTATCCATCATGAAGCACAAAGCTTGTGCGATGTCATGTTATCATTACTCCTCATAAAATTGAGTTTGAAGAGAGCTGTAAGTGTTTGAGTGTTGAAAACTCGTGTTTTCAGAAGAGCTGCTCCGAAAATTCATTGTCCAACGGGGCGATTTTTTGAACGGTCATTTTGGGAACGAATCAAGTATTCATTAGAAAGCACTAACCTTCTAGTTTCTTCCAGGGGACAAGAATTGCAAAAAGTTCCTGAAGAAAGTTATAACAGTTCAAAGCCAAAAAACCAGCGCTCTGCGAAAAATCGGTCCGCGATTTCCCCAAAACGGTCCAACGGGGCGATTTTTTGACTCCATCAAGAGTTCAAGTATTCGTTAGAAAGCTCGAACCTTCTATTATAGTTTATCTCAGGGGGACAAGAATTGCAAAAGGTTTGTTCTGAAGGAATAGCATTGAAAGCCAAAAAACCTGGTTCTGAAAAAATGAGAAGTGCGCATTTCTGTGAATTCCGGTTTCTCTACCCCATAACTAACATAGTTTTGAAGAAACTGCAAAAAAGTGGTTGTTTTCGGAAACTAGGGGTCTCGTAGATTACAAATCCACTTTGCGTTTTGAAAAATATTGACGCTGAACAGAATTACACTCTTTTGAAAATTAGTAGTCC